ATTCTATGGCTGTGTCTTCAAGTTCCCCAGTCTTTTCTTCTGCAGTCTCTGTCATGGATCCCACCCAGTGTATTGTTTTTTTTCTTTTGGCAGCTAGCCAGTGCAAGGACGGGACCCTGGACCTTGATGTTGTCAACACCACTGATAACCACCTGAGCTCACCTGCCAGCCCTCAGTATGTTCTTCATCTCACACGTTAGAGTTTCCACCCTAAAAGTTAGATTTTTGTCTTCTTTTTGTGCCTTCAACATCTCTACTTAGCTTGCTGGACATACAGGGTACAGTTAGAGTTATACCGTCTGTGACAGTTTGACATTGGTTTTGATTGCCTGGTTATTCTCCATGCCATGACTCATGTTTTCCTGCTTTTCTACATGGTAATTGCTGACTGGTTGACTGATAATGTGCATTTTGTTATGGGGCTGATGGTCATTTTTGTATTCCTATAAATGTTCTTGAGCTTTGTTCTGGGACAGTTACGCTATTTGGAAAGAGCTTGGTCCATTCAGTCTTCCTTCTGAGATTTCTCAGGTGGGTCTGGAGCAGTGCTCACCCAGGGCCAACCCTCCCCCAACTGAGGCAAGACCTGCTGTCTGCTCTGCCAATGCCCCAGGGATCGCAGAGCTTTCTAGTCAGACCGGTGGGAGCAGGCACTGTTTCCTACAGTCCACTCAGTGGCTCCTCCCCAGCCTCCCGGGAATGTGCTCATCAGTCCTTGGTTGGGCACATGGGGTTTTCTCTCTGTGTGGCTCTCTCCTCTCCAGGGCTTTGTCCTGTGAACCCTCACTGCCCCCCGGGCCTCTCAGCTCCATCCCCTCGACTCAGGTCCTCAGCCAGATTCCACCTGGGCTGCATAAGCTTGGACCTTAACTCAGGTCATTAACTGTTTGTCATCGCTGATGTCCAGTGTTTTGAAAATCCTTGCTTCACATGTCTTGTCTGGTTTTTGGTTGTTTCAGATGGGAGGGTAGATCTAGTTACCGTTACTCCACCTCAGCCAGGTGTGGAAGTCAGCTGGTTTGTTTTGAGATAAGTTATAGAAGTGTGTATTTATACCCCGATGAGAATGGCCGAAAATCTGCACAAAGATCTAGGACACATACTTACATCTTGAAAGGACAGTAAACTCTGAACACTGTGAAGCCTCTCCTCCTCTTCAGCCACAGCTCTCTGGACCAAGTCATAAGCTTCCAAGTAGTGTGCAGTCTTCCCTTCCTCATCTCTCTCCCATTGGGCACATAACCTTTGCAAGATGCACGAGTGGAATTTAGAACAAAAACATTAATGCAGTTTTTGTAAAATCATGCTGTATATTTTATTAGTATGTAAAATTTGGTGACTAAAGATATTCTCACATGAAAGGGAGTCTCAATATAATGTCGAGTGAAGATAAAAAAGAGCTGGAATAATGCAGTACGGTGGCACTTCACAAAGCTCATGGAAAAACAGAATTCAAAGATAATATGAGTCTTTCCATGAACTTTCTGAAGTGCCCTCATATGTGCGGTACGATAAAGTCACGTGCCACATCATGATGTTTTGGTCAGTGACAGACAGGGTACACGAGGGTGGTCCCATGAGATTACGACACCGTATTTTCACTGCACCTTCTCTATGTTTAGCTGTGTCTAGAGACACAAACATTTACCACTGTGTTACCACTGCCTACAGTGCTCAGTACAGTAACAGCTGCATGGGCCTGCAGCCTACGGCCCAGGGCCACACCTGATAGCCCAGGTGTGTAGCAGGCCACACATCGAGGTTTGTGCACGTGCACTCTGCCACGCTTGCACAAGGACATCCCCTGATGGTGCACTTCTCAGAACGCACCCCCGTCGTTAAGTGACTCGTGACCATATTTACAAAAAATTAAATCTGTGCCTAAAAGATATCTGCTAAAACAATACTG